TATCTTGTACCATCGTCCCCCCAACACCCAGCCTCCCAGCCAAGCTATTCTTGCTCTCTCTCATCCAGGTCCGAATACATGCTCTGCCCTTCACCCACCTTCCCCCCAGACCGCAGCTGGAATTACCGTGGATCCAAATCATATGCACCCCCAGCTTCTGCACGGCCCTCAGAGGGTTGCATCACCCACCTCACGGCCCAATCATCATCTTCCCCCAAATCCAGAACCCAGTGAGGAGAGAGACAGCCCAGAATGTCTTGGCCTCCCAGCACCCAGTCCACCCCCTGGAAGCCTCTCACACAGTGGGTGCTCAAGGAGTATTTGTTCAGGGAATCAAACAGAGCTTGTTGTTTTTTTTAAGTATTGAAATACAGGGGCGCCTGAGTGGCTCAGTCGTTAAGCGTCTGCCTTCGGCTCAGGTCATGATCCCAGGGTCCTGGGATGGAGCCCTGCACTGGGCTCCCTGCTCAGTGGGAAGCCTGCTTCTCCCTCTCCCACTCCCACTCCCCCTGCTTCTGTTCCCTCTCTCGCTGGGTCTCCATCAAATAAATAAAATCTTTAAAAAATATAAAATAAAATAAAGTATTGAAATACAGAGGAATTTAAAAAAATGAGCTGAATCTTAAAATCTGTAGAGGCGAAACTTGAGTGCTAAATACTGGGTCTCAGGGCGCCTGGGTGGCTCAGTCGTTGGGTGTCTGCCTTCAGCTCAGGTGTTGATCCCAGGGTCCTAGGATCGAGCCCCACATCGGGCTCCCTGCTCCGCGGGAAGCCTGCTTCTCCCTCGCCCACTCCCCCTGCTTGTGTTCCCTCTCTCACTATGTCTCTCTCTGTCAAGTAAATAAAATCTTTAAATAAATAAATAAATACTAGGTCTGTACTTTTGAAAAGTACCTCTTTTCTCTTCACATTCAAAGACTTAAGTGATCAAGCTTCCCTCCTCTGATCTTGTCTTTTCTTCCTCACCCTTGTGACAGGCACTGAAAATTCCCCTCTGATTCTACTTCTGGAAGAACGTATTATCTGCGAGGATACCCCCATTTCAGAATCTGCCGCAGGAAGGAGCGTCCTCAGAAAAGGAGGAGGAATGGATTACATGCAAAATTTTTTGTAAGACATTAAGCTTTTGAGAGCTCCCTTCAGTAGCAATCCCCGTCTAGATTTAAATGTTTCTCTGTAGAACATTACCTGCTTGCCAGAGAAGGGGAGTCAACAAATCTTAACTCTGAAACAAGGACGTTTTCCGTGCAAGGAAAAACATAACCACCACCACAAAAACACATTCTGGGCATCCATTCTGCACCAGGCACACACAGGCTGGGTGCTCTCCATCCAGCATCTCTTTCCCCACAACCTCCCCTTTCCATGCTCCAGATAACAAAACTGAGGCTCGGCGGAGCTAAAGCATTTTCCAAAATGTAGTAAACTGCATTGTGAACTCAAGTCCATCCAACTCCAAACCTGTGCTCCTTCCATTATGCCAACTACCTTGAATCAGAAATCATAAAAGGGGAAAAAATTCATGACAGTACAACCCAACATAGAGCTTCATTTGTTATCAGTTTGATTCAGACCCTGTCCCGATTTACTACAGTCAAGCAAGGCACATGGCACTAAAAAGTTTCCTTTATCGACTGGGACCACTGGCCAGAAAACTAGCACGAAAAAAAGAGACAAGGGGACCACCAAACACCAAGACAGAGAATGGCCCAAAATGGAAAGGGACCAGGCAGGACCCATCCCTGGCCACCCACAGGCTCCCAGCACACACCTGCTCCAGGAAGCCACTGGTTCCTGCAGGAAGGGGCACTTCCAAGCCAGGAAGCGCAGACATTGCAAAGGAGGATGCAAATGCCCCCGCATATGGGATGTGAGCAGTCAGTGACAACTGCACCTACAGGAGCTCCCCACCCCCCACATCGGGCAACTCAGCAAGTGCCATCGGCTTCACGCCAAAGACATTACCAGGCCCAAAGGCATTCCTGATTTGGGCCATAATCCTCCAAACTCCAACATCATCAAAAGTTGGAGGACTGGTCAGCCCCAGATCCCCTTTGCTATCCTCAGTGTGGCTTCACCACGATCAGCATCTCCCTAACACCTCCTTCCCTTTTCCAATCACAGCGAGCCCATCTTGAACATCTCCTCTACTGATGACCTTGCCCAATCCTACCACTCTGTGTAGCTCAGCTGTACAGAAGCAGTTTGTGATGGGCTGTGCCACGGTGGTCTCTCCCTGCTCTGACTATAAACACCGTCCCACTCCGCATTTACCTACACATCTCTCTACAGGCAGTTAGTACTGATGCATTTTACTCCAATGTTACAACTCGGCACAGTGGTATTCACTCTTTCCTGCAGTTACATTCAATAAAATACTCACCTCTTCTATTCTAGGCACTAAAGATACCAGATTGATTAAATCCCAGCCCTGTCCCTGTGGGACTCACAGTCTAGTGGAGGATGGATAATATAAAATACAACTGTACAAATATATTCATCATTACAGGGCACAAGACACAATCCAAAGCATTATATCACATCACCCTATATATTTTCATCATCATCATTTAGCTCCATCTGTGGCTGTTAGGTTTGTTCATTTACTTACCTTCAGTCTGTCCCCATTAAGAGACAATGGGACAGGAACCTTATCTGTCTAGTAACTATTTTGTCCCCAACACTCAGTACAGACTTGGGCCCAGAAACAGACTCATTAAAAGTATTATGTGTGGAAGGGGATAAAGAGAGAGGCAGGGAAGTGTCAGGAACAATGGGCACTAAACCCAGCTCAGAGGTCCAGGCAATGCTTCTATGACAGAGAGCTAACTGGGCTCAGATATGAAGAGGGAATACGGACCAGACAGGGAAGGGGAGAGAAACAATCCAGAAAAGGAAACAGGCTGAGCAAAAGAAACGGCAAATCAGAAATGGCAGAGGCTGTTTGGGGAGAGCCCCTAAATACTGCAACAGACCAGCTGTTCTCAAAGACACCTGTCAGTGCCGGGAGACATTTCTGATGGTCATGACCTGGGTCAGTAGTTGCTGCTGGCATACAAGAGGCAGAGCCCAGGGAGACTGCTAAACGTCCTACAATGGACAGAACAGCTCCCCCACAACAAAGAATTATCTGGTATAAAATGTCAGCAGTGCTGAGTTCAGCAACTGTAACATTTAAGGCATGGACTGGTCAGAGAACATTAAAGCTCTTCTCTAAAGTTCACAATTCCTACTCTCACCAAATATCTTCTTTGGATTAGAATTTAGAGCAGGGTAGCATTTGTTTACCACCTCCCATAACCTCAAAGAAAGGAAATAGACATCAAGGAGTGTCCAGAACGTATCAGGCCTCTATATTAGCTGGAATGAGACTTTCGGCAGGTATCTGTGAGCTCCCTAACACTACATTTGGCCCTGGGTCTTATGATCTTCACCAAGGACACAGTATCAATTGCCCTCATCTACTGACTACGTACCAGGACTCCTCACTTTCCCTCTAAATTCTAAGACTCTGAACTACCCACCCCAGTTGCAAGGGATGAGATATAGAAAGATGAGGACAAGAGGTACTCAATAGCACCAGATCAATGGATGGATGGTCAGACAAACAGAGGCATGGACAGAGATTTTTCAGAATGGAAAAGGACTGAGTCCTTGGAGCTCCAAGGGCATGTATCTGTGCTTTATGCAGTTTTTCATGAAGGCAGGGTTGTCCTGAATGTTGACACCCCCTGACCCATGCCCTGTTATGGGGGTGGGGGGAGGGTCTATCATGGAGAATGCTTAGCAAAGGTCATCTCCCCAGGACTCTACAGCCTTGGCAGGGAGTCAAGCAGCTAGACTTGAAGGAGTGGTGACAGGAGCTGGGAAGTGAGAAAAGACAAAGCCCCTTTGTCTGGAAGTGGCACACACAGCAGGACGGAGCCTGCCCCTTGACAATGAAATCTGCCGCAGCTCCAGAACTTGCTGGGGCCTGACCCTCTGTTCAGCTGCTCATCCTGCCTTGCAATGGCCTCTCTTCTCAAGAGCTAGAAGTCTCTTAGTCCAAAATGGGTTTGTTTATTTTTGTCCCTAGCAAACAATTCAGTATTGTCTGAAATGCCTGAATTGTAACTATAAGAGGGGGAAAGAGAGAGAGAGATGTCACCATTTTTTTCTGTTGTAAGAGATCCAACAGTGAAATATTTCTAAAGAGTAGATCTTAGACACTCACTAGGGCTATCTCCTGCTACATCTCAAATTCCACCATGACAGAAGTTTCCCAGATTTCCTCATCTCTGAAGTGGGCACAATACCATCCACCTTACAGTCTTACTAATATCCTAAAAGGGCTTGTTTAAGTCAGAAACAGTTACAAATGAATGCAATGAACAAAAACTCGATTTGCGTCCAACTTTTCAGGGAAACTTCTGGTGGGTAGAACAACAAAAGCCGGGAATGGCACCCCATGCACGGCAGGACACTCTTCCCAGTCCCACAAGAACATGGGCCTTCCATCTAATACAGTGGCTCCATACAGAGCCAAAGCTGGAAAGAAGGGACAGATTACCCTAGAAAATCAAAATGAAAATCGAAGTAAACTTGCTGCAATTCTAAGCAAAACCTGCAACTCTCACAGTAGAAAAATATCAGCAATAGGCAGTGCCCAGCTTGGAAATGAATGGTCTTCCAAAAGCTCATTTGTAAGTTGGGTGTTTGGAACTTGAAATGCAAGCATTATTTTATGTCCCAAGCCAGCCCACAAACACTGATTGAACTTAAAATATACCTGGCACACTAAATACCTAGAGTGAAAACAGCAGAAAGCAATGTTTTTATATCATTTTAAAAATCTATCAAAATAAATAAATAAATAAATAAATAAATAAATAAATAAATAATCTATCCAAATGCTTAGAAAAACAAATACACAGCTCATCAGTAGCCAAATACAATAGTAAGACAAAATACTGAAACCAGGTTTGAAAACTGAGAAGATTTATCATTTATCCACTAAGTACCTTCTTTAATCCTCCAAATAAAGTGCCAATCTCCAGGGCAAACTGTCGATCCAGCTCCTCTTCATGTTCTGACAAGAAAAACAGTGTTTCATTAGTCAGTTTTATTTAAAACTGGGTTGGTTTAATAGGAGAACCACTAAGAGAAACTGGAATATGTTCTGGAAAAGCTGCCTGTGGACTGAGCTACAGACATGGAGACACGTCAGACTCCTTGATCTTCCACTCCAGTTTCCTGTGACCTAAGTTCCTGGAAATACAGAGTGGGGCTGGTGGAAACGTCCCCTTCAATTTGTAATAAGGGTCACAAACGGGGAGGGATCAAGAGAAACAGCTTTCAGTAACAGGAATCAAGGAGGGAATTAGTGCAAATGCCTCACCTATATAGGTGGTGAAGAATTATTCTAAACAGATCACACCACAAAATGATGGTGATCACAGCCCCATGATATGGACATAATGCTAACGAGATTATAAAATGAAATCATATAATAGTAATAAGTATACAATTGGTTTAAAACAAAAAGCATAACGGGTGCCTGGGTGGCTCAGTCGTTAAGCGTCTGCCTTCGGCTCAGGTCATGATCCCGGGGTCCTGGAATCGAGCGCCACATCGGGCTCCCTGCTCCGCGGGAGGCCTGCTTCTCCCTCTCCCATTCCCCCTGCTTGTGTTCCTGCTCTCGCTATCTCTCTCTCTGTCAAATAAATAAATAAAATCTTTAAAAAAAAAAAAAAAAAAGCATAACAAAATATTCAAATACTTCTTAAGGGTGTACAATAACCAGGCACACACTGTGATATACCAGGAATGAAACAAAACAAGATTGGCACAGCCTTTGCCTGGGGCTCGTGGTACCCCAAAAGGCTCAGAGTATACAAACAAGGGAAAACCAGTGCTCATCAGACCAACAAACCTACAAAACCACAGAAGAACTGAAAAGGAACTACCCAGAAAGACTGCAGGAAAACCAGGAGAGTGTGTAGTCATTAAGACATAACCCTGAAAGGACGCTGGTTTCATAGTAGGATCTAGGGGCAGAGTCACACACACACACACACACACACACACACACACTAGAGGAGCCCCAACCTCCAACCATGGGCAACACTGCCCCTGGGAACAACAGCAAAGGGCGGGGTGGGAGCACTGGCCTAGGGTGCCACATGGCCCAGCTCCGGGACACATTCCCACTGCATCCCACGCAGTGCAGGGGGCGCTGTGGAGGCGTGTGACTGCAGCAGGGCTCTGGTTCTTTCTGTTACAGCTGCACACACATCACGTTGTGCGTGCGTGAATTGTGCACAGACTCAAGTCCTAGGGAAGAGCCCACAAAGGGCAAACTACTGCAATCCAACAAAGAAGTTAACAGGAACCTCCTAAAATTAACACAAAGAAGGTGGGAAAACCTCTCTTCCTCTTGCCTCTTCTGTTTTGGCTTCGCTTACATACAAATAGCAACCTCCACAAACATCAGAATTGTGCAGAACTGAAACAAAGCAGAAACTTTTTGTTTTTTTGCTTCTTTTTTTAAAAGAGTACAGAGGCAGTGAAATTTACATGCGAAAGCACCAGACTTCCTGAAACTAGAATGCAGCCCCCTCTAGTGGGAAAAAGGAATCCGCGCAGGTAGGAGAAAAATGAAATCCTGTCTGGTGATGCCCAACGGAAATACTGAGACACAATTTTGAAAAGTAAAAAAAGATGAAATTTTAGTATATCTTATTTATTTCAACATGGAATCAGTATTAAACAATTACGAATGAGTCATTTTACATCCCTTTTTCTTTTTTTTTTTTTAGATTTTATTTATTTATTTGACAGAGAGAGAGCACAAGCAGAGGGAGTGGCAGGCAGAGGGAGAGGGAGAAGCAGGACCCCCGCAGAGCAGGGAGCCCAACGTGGGGCTCCATCCCAGGACCCGGGGATCATGACCTGAGCCGAAGGCAGTCGCTTAACCAACTGAGCCACCCAGGGGCCCTACATCCCTTTTTCTTACTAATTCTTCAAAATCCAATACACATGTTATCCTTACAGCACATCTCAATTTGAAGTGGCCCCATTTTAAGGGCTGGTACGGCTAATGGCTACAGTACTGGACAACACAGCTCTAAACCAAAAATCCTCTCTCAGGTTTGGAGAATTTCTACAACTCCCCCTTGTCTGATTCCTTGACACAAATACTATACAACATACATTCGCAACCTCTTTGGAATCCACCGTCTTCAAGTGGTCTTAAGTTAGCTGAAAATGCGTGGCTACAGAATTTGGTTGATAGAGGAGAAAGGCCGGCTACAGAATCTGGTTGATAGAGGAGAAAGGCCGTTGAGAACCTGTAGTAGGAAATCTTTCCCTAAAGAGCTTCGGCCCTCAGAATTTCTCTGATGAGACCCTTCAGCTAGAGATCCTATATTCTCACTCAGGGCAAGAGTTTTCATCGTACCTCACATACACTCAAGCAAAAGGACCCTGCAAACGGAGAGAAGCCTTCTCTGCCTGAGCAATTTTCTCCACACCACACAGGCCTGACTCTCAGGCAGAACCAGCTCTTTCTTCGAGGTGCCCTCGTTCTATTTCCGAAAATTCAGCGCTCCACAAAACTGCCTCAGAGCATAGAAATGAAGCAATTTCTGTTGATGAGCCCTCATTACTAAATCAGCTGTTGATTCTCCCCACTCCAACCACCACCCAACAAGAGGATACATCAAAGCCCCATTCTACCTACTGAGTGAGAAGATTTGCATTTTAATCGATGTCAATGAGCTGTGGTGGTAAACCATTTACTTAAAAGTGCTAACTAACCTACCCCTTTAACCCTCAACATTTTGATAGGAAATCATTTCTGGGGTGGGGTGGGGGGTAATTAGAGGGCAATAATCAGGAAGAGGAGGAGACACACACACACACCCTCGTCTGACACGAGCCACTGCCGAGGACCAGCACACCCAATCATGGCTTCACACGTCCTGCTGTTTCTATGCATTTGAAAAATTCCAATCAGCTCCTACTGATTCTTTATTTCTCTAGGAAGCCGCTGGGTACAGCAGACTGTGGCAGTAAATGAGTAGAGAGAGGGAGCAGAAAAGATGGGCTTCTCCAGATAAAAGAATTTAATGATAACCAACTCTCAAAAATTCATATAAAATGTCATATAGAAGGATGAGAAGGTGCTGGTCTTCCCATGACAACTCTTGAGAACTGGGGCCCCCCTCCTCCGCTCTCCCAAATCCCATTCAGGGAATGAAAAGTTGATGTAGAAATAGCCCAAGCAAAATCAAATCATATATGTAGATAGGATACAAAGCAACATACAATATAAATGGCCTTCAAATCTCCCAAATAAGGCTGCTCACCTGTTACTCACCTGAAAGAATTCTGGGGTCTATCAAGGCAAGCCACCAGGCACGCAATTTGCATGGGAATCCTTGGGGCTCCCGAGAGAGGTGGAAGTGCCCCAGACTGAGATGCAAACACTCCAGCAGAGAGGAAGCCATAAGCTCTGGGCATGCTCTTTTGTGTTTGACAGAATGGCAGGGAGCACTGGCTGGAGGAGTAAGGAGCTGTGGGGTCTAACACAAGGGGTTGCCTTCACATGCCCTCCAGCTCAGGCCCTGTCCCAAGTCATTGTGACAAGTTTACTGCAGGTGTTAAGAAAGTCGACTCTGGCTGGGGGCGCCTGGGTGGCTCAGACGTTAAGCGTCTGCCTTCGGCTCAGGTCATGATCCCAGGGTCCTGGAATTAAGCCCCACATCGGGCTCCCCGCTCAGCAGGAGGCCTGCTTCTCCCTCTACCCCACTCCCTCGTGCTCTCGCTCTCTGGTTCTCTCTCTAAGTAAAATCTTAAAAAAAAAAATCGACTCTGGAAGCCAACACTCTCCTCCCTTGAGGGCCAGTGTCCACATAGGAGGAGAAGGCCCGTGCAAGCCTGAGAGGAAGGGGTAAGCCAGCAATCTTGGATTCCCAGTAGGAAAGCAGGAGCTCTAACGTTTCCTATGACCCTGGCCACAGGTGACAGAGGAAACAGGGTGAACCGTAACATGAAGCCCGACACACACTATCGATGCTGGCCATCAAGACACACTGCCCAGTGCCTGGCTCCCGCAGGGGCTACACACTTGGGTCCTTTCACAAAAGACCGTTAACTGAAGGACCCCTGGTAGCCCCTCCCATGGTTCCAAGGGCAAGGCCACCTGTTCAAAGACAGGACCAGGGGTAGCCCCCATTACCCACCCCCAAGGCCGCCCACCCCGCACTGGGCCCTACAGAGTTGCCAGCTGGCTTGCAACCAAATTCCTCTGGTCACAAAAGCAAGTGGGGAAAATTACCTCCTGATTACAAAGCCCGCCCCTCATGAGAGGTTAGTGTGCTATGAACACAAAGAAGAATCTGTAAATGTGCTGCTATCTCCTTTCCTTATAAACTGAGACTAGTGATGTGATAAGAACAGGTGAGTTCAGGAATAAACAGAAGGTAAAAGGTGAAAATGTTCAACTATAATTGTATTCCACTTTCAGAACATCTACTATATAAACAAAGAAATTGGACATGGCAATTCAAATGAATCATTTGTTCACACTTGCTTAAATGTCGGGGCTTCCTGGTGCTTACAGAATTTATTTAGAGAAACATTAACCTCTGCTCACTCAAGTTTTTAAAAATGAAAATAAAGTGTCTGTGAAATGGAAATGCAAATTCATGGGAAATACCACTCTGTTTATAAAAATGTCCCTAATATGCAACTTTTCAGGAAGAGAGCCACACCATAAAACTTGACCCTGGGCTCTGGAAAGCCAAAAGGATCTAGGATGGCCTACAGTTCAATAGAGAGTAATTGTCACAGAAAAAATAAAAATGGTAGAGTTTATAAATAAACCCAAGAGATTGTTTTTTGAAAAAGAGAACAGATCCACTAAGTAGACAAAACCTTTGCTAAATTCCCTAAAACAGAAAAAATGAGATATGTGTTTCAAAACATGATGTGATCTACAACTGGATGTTAAGACATTTGAAATTTTCAGTGAAAAGGGAAAATGTAGGGGTGCCTGGCTGGCTCAGATGGTGGAGCACGTAACTC